CTGAGGCCAGGATAGTGGGGAAGAATAAAGTTGTTGGTTACGAGTTCAGGACGATAAAGGGTGACAGTGGTTGGAGATGGTAGATGCCCGATGCGACTCTGAAGGCAGGGATTAGGACAGGACACAGGAGGAAAAGAAGAACTCTAGTCAGAACTTCGAAACAGGAACTGTAAAAAGGAAAATAAACCAAAACGGTACTACAAAGAAAATTAATTTAAAACAAACCTGATTTTCTGGATGAAAGGAAAAGAGCAAAATCAAAGAATTGGAGCCTGTAACCAAAAGCAAAAAAAGCAAAAGCAAACAAAAACTGAGCTTATGCGAGTAGGATTTGTCTTACTAAAACCTGTTTTCAGTAAACAGTCCCGCATTTATGAGGTTTATGCTTAAGGTGAAGCTGGGGGTAAATAAGATCGACAGAGTTTACTGAAATTTATGCTGAGGTGGAGCTGAAGGCAAATAAGTTCAATTGGATTTACACAAAAATTGCAGACAACTCCACACTTTTGCTTCCCCCAGCCTGCAACTGTACATAACAGTTATATATATAACATTTTCCCTTCGAAATCTCACAGAACTGAAGGCTGACTTCATCATCGTGCATCCATTCTACACTACCCTGCTGCTTACTTTATGGAACTTATTAACTCTTAGCTTTATCTGAACATCAGTTTCGCAAATAGGGAGGTTCTTAGCGATGACTGGTTTTTGTGAAACAACATTAACTAAGCATCAGTTCCATAAATAGGGAAGCCTAATGGCGGGGTTTTGTGAAACAGCTTTGCCTAAGCATCAATTTCATAAAAAGGGAAACCCTCTACAGATGACGGGTTTTTATGGATTAGTTTCCACTAGCAAAACCTCAGTTTCTTTTGCTTTTATTCAAAAAGTCAGACTTGCTTCAATTTACTTTTATTTGTGTGCACAGTGTTGTATTTTTCTCTTTGCTGCTATCTCCAGTTCTTGCCTCGAATTCCTGACTTGCATCCTCGGTCCCCTTCTCTACGCTGTCCCAAATCCTGCTAGCAAACAAGTTATAGACCCCTCTTCATCTCTAATATAGCATCACTGTTCAAAGTATTTACCTTTTCGTACCCCTGGTATCTACGTTAAAAACCAGGAACACACTTCTCATTCTTTCCGTTCATCACTGCTTCTCTCTCCCTTCCAAATGTACGTTACTTAGTCAAACGGCAAAGGATCTACGCCATTAAGTCCTTACATTCACCTTTCCTAGCCCACTCCCCTGCCTGGAACGAAACCACCACTTCCACCTGCCACATTCAAACTGCCGCCATCCACCGTGGCGCAGCCCTATCTGCCGTTGACA